TCTTTCCCTTTGGCATTTTCATAATAACTTGGGCAGGGGCAGTAGCGTCAAAGAAGAATCAGAGGCAGCTGATTATTTTCATTTGTAAAAAAAGAAAAAGTTTTATTATGAAACTAGTTTGTATAAAACAGGGTTATACATGGTTTTTTTTTTTTTTTTTTTGTAAGTTTGTAATAAAACAGTAAGGAAAAAAAAAAGGCAGTGATAGAAATTTCCCAAAAGGCAACCCATCAAAACCAACTGGCTGCCACTTTGCGTTTGGACAGTAGCTGCATAAACTTTGTTCTTCTTGAACAGTATTCAATAACATCATTAATACATTGACAAAGTTTCTATAAAGTAAGACACATTGGTGCTGAAGTACATCTGGTGGCCTTTTGATCTCACCTATGAGGACAGTTCTTTACAAAACCACATAGGGAAAATGGCAGTTGTAAGGTGAACTACACATCTAAAGTATGCAGAGGTAATAGCATTACATGTTAAAGTATCAAGATATACACATTTTAAACCATTTGTACAAAACTCTATAAATTTTTTCTCTCTCTCTTATGTACAAAAATATCTTAATATATCCCCAAACTGGTTAGGATAGATACAAATAGATTTTTCTTATAATAAAAAAAATTCACAAAAGATTGGAAGCATTCTATGATGAAAAAAGTAGAAAAGATGGTGTGAGGGAGTGGAGCTTGGGGAGGGAGCCCCCCCCCCTCCTGCAGAGGATTGGGGTTTCAAAGAGCATACTTTCACTGCAGACAAATGTCCACAGCTTATCGGGATGGAGGATACAGAGACGAAAGACACCAACCCATTTCTAGAGGGCTAAGAACTGCGCTTTCAGAGGGGGCGGGGAGGTCAGCTCTGCCTGTTAGTGGTGGGTGGGAGTTTCTACAGGGCGTGCGCTGCTCCCTTCCGCCAGGAGCCCGCTCTTTTTGCACACAAGCTGCATTTTGTGCATTGACTCGGGTCCTAGTCACTCCTTCTATCTCCGTGAATGATTGGAGGGCACAGATACTGTTCTGAGCGCATTCCTGTTTTGCGAGAGCCTCGCTTCTCAGGCACGCTGTGCTTAGTTGGCGTAGGGGTTGGTTGCCTGGATTTCTTTGTTTTCTTCTTATTCTCTTCTTCTTCTTTCTTCTTTTTTCTCCCTTTCAACATCGCTGACAAGAAAGCTTAACTAAAGATGCAGGTTGCGCGGTGGCCCTGTAACATAAAAACGGGAGAGGTTAGTGTGCACTTGGAGGCCAGTAGTGGGAGCAAAAGGAGGCTTGGAGAAAGATCTGTCAGGTAGAGCGCCTCTTTTGACAGGTCTTAGTACTCTGTTCTCTGCCTCAGCTCTACCCTCCAGTTTTGGAGACCTGGACAAAGCCACTCTCAGAAGCCAAGGCTGAAACTAACATACCAGGATTTGAAATCGACGGACTTTAACAAATCCTTTAAATCAACCCCCCTCCCTCATCTCCGTGGAGACAGTCCCCCTCCTACAGAAGAAAAAGGATGAAGACAAGAAAATACCCCCGTTCCCTCCATAGTGCAACCTACCTGCTTCCGAAGTCCATTCGCACCAGGGCCTGACCAGGCCGAGCCCCTCAGAACCAGTTGGTGAAGTCGAGCAGTTCTTGCTCCTCGGGGCTGAGAGGGTCGTAGGAGCCCTCGTCCGACGAGTAGGATGAGACCGGCGACCCGGCCATGGAGTTCATGTCGTTGGAGTAGTTGGGGGAGATAGTGGGCGACAGGACGCCCGCCTGGAAGGCGGCGCTCACCGCGTCGTGCTCGTCCAGCAGCTGCTGCAGCGCGCGGATGTACTCGACGGCGGAGCGCAGCGTCTCCACCTTGCTCATCTTCTTGTTGGCCGCGCCGTTGGGGACGTGCTCCCGAAGGGTGGCGAAGCCCAGGTTGACCAGCTTGACGCGGTTGCGCTCGCGCTCGTTGCGGCGCGCCACGGCGGCCGGCTGCTGCTGCGGCAGGCTGTAGCCGAAGCCGCTGAAGTTGAGCCGGCGTTTGCAGCGCATCAGTTCGGGCGAGGACGAGCGCTGTCGCTTGACTTGCTTGGGCGCTGACTTGTGACCGCCCCCTGAGGGCTGGCCGTCGGCCGCGGGGCTCAGCTGAGGCGCCTGCGGCTGCGGCGGCGGCGGCGGCGGCTGCTGCGCACTCTGCGCCGC